ATCACAACGGACCCATCTTCGAAGGCACGAGGTAGAGGAGTCGGCGGCCATTCTTGGGAGGCCCGTGGAGTGGGCTTCTTCTGTCCATGAGTCGACCGATTAGGAGTGCGGGCAGAACTGGCATGAGCTGCTCTGTCCGCCATCCACAGCAATGGCCAGAGCCAGGAAGGCTATTATCGGGATAAACAGATGTTGATAGCCATTCAGGCTTGCGAGCGATCAAGAGCAAAGGCTGAAGTTGGTGTCCACGTTTGACTCAAGCAGACTTGAATGGTACCCAACGACAAGCTAAGTTTCCACTGAGAAGACAACGCAGGTGGAGAGATGATGGTTGGTTATCTATGAACAAAGGTTGGAATCAGAACACAAAGCTCGAGGGCGGGAGGACTGCATTGAGTTTGGAAGGAAACGGAGAAGAAAGCAGCGGAGCAGCTGTTGCTGTCAGCTCTCGCAGGGGCCGGACTGACGGCGCGTAAAACAAGGCTGTAAGGACAAGCGGGTGGAAATAAAAGACAGGCGTGCGATCTCGCCAGCACAGGAGGACAACCGATTGCAGTCAGCAGCAAGAGGTGGAGGAGCAGGAGGAAGAAGAAGAAGAAGAGGAGGAGGAGGCAGAAGAAGCAGAGGGAGAATGGCTCATGGGCGAAAGTCAACTCAGCGCATGTAGACGGTGGTGGTGAGAGGTGGTGATGGATGAATAAACGTCAGATGCAGGAAAAAGTCAGGACAGACAGCAGCTTTTAGTGGGCGAAGCGGGAACATCCCATGTTCGATTGTTCGATTGTTCGATTGTTTGATTGTTTGTGGTGTGGACTGCGGAGTGATCAGCTCTCGTCGTTGACGGATCACGGGTTGCCAGGCTAGCAGCTAGTTAAGCCAATTGAATGCCTCACTCTGGATTGCGCTGCGCCAGATGAAGGGAGGGGTCACTAGGCATCGAGGGCGGCGAATCATGGGCACGCCACCGACGGTTGGGGGAGATTCCCCTGCAGGCTATCCTGGCAAGCCTAGCTTCCACAGGCTGGCTGGCTCGTTGCGCGTGTGGCCTCATTTGACCATTGTAACATTATTGAGGAGTGAAGAGAAACAATACACAGGGTGCGGTGCGGTGCGGTCAAGGGCACGCCGCAGACACTTTTGTTGTCTTCTACCCATACACCTCGCCTAAGGACATCCAAAGACACTGAGATCCACTAAATGACAGTGTAGCCGACAAGGTGAACTGTCACATTGGTCAAACAACTCGTCGTCGGACGGCGGCATCACCCTCAGATCAGCCTGCGCAATATCAATTACTCCTACTTTTCCGTTCCACCAACCTCGTGCGACTCTCCTGACCGATTTCTTTTCACCATCTCAACCTTTCCTCACGTCCTTCAACCTGCCAGGGCACTGGAAAGCGCAATTCCTATCATGCAGCCACTTGTCACTGCGCGTCTGGTCGATCTCCCGACAACTCCACAACAACTTTTCATCGACCGTTTATTTGGGTAGCCAGGTCATTGCTGCGCTCGCATGCCTGCGTCTTGACGCCTGGTCTTCACATCATGTCCACCTCTCTTCAACAGCGCCCGCGGGCCAACCTACAGCCCGGGGACATCCTTGTGGCCATCCGTGCGTTACATCTGCCGCTTCACTGCCATGTGCAAAGACGCCTCGCTGACGGTCTCGATCTAGATGATTTCGACGCCAGAAGTGCCGATGAGTTGACGCTCCGAAAAACCGATCAGATCGAGTTGGTTGAGTTGGATGACGGCTTTGGTGATGGCTGGTACCTAGGCAAGCATCTTGGTACAAGGACGACAGGCCTGTTTCCTGGTGGTATGTCGTTTTCCCACACTGGACTCTTAGTTCATTCTTCTTAAGTGATTGACATGTGCTCAGTCTATACCGCTAAGCTTCCCCCCAACTTCGCGCCTGTGGGTGCTCCAGCCGTCAAAGGCCCTCAAATCCTTGCGAAACCATCAATCGAGTCCACGAGCGAGCCACTCAAACACGCAAACTCAACCACCGACACCTCCAGTCACCGTAGCCTCTCCTCGTCCCCAACCCCACAGTCTACTCTACCGCTACGAAGCTCTATACCCGCTTCTCCCACCCAATATATTCATCGGAGCATCAGTCAGGCACTGTCAGGCAGAGCAAGTGGAGAGGACAGTCCAGTTATGAATGAAACATTAAGCGTTATAAATGAACACATTACGGACCTGAGCACGCCGCGTCAGAGTCTGTCGCCGCCACTGGCTTTGATGGAGGATTCGGAGAGCGAATACAGCAGTCACCTCGACCGAGCCTCCTATATCGCCGGCCCTGAAACCGATAGCGAGGACAATGCGCGCCCAACGGAAGCTGACGTCAAGCAATGGGATGCGAAAGAGACGGCTGAGTACCTGAGAAGCCTTGGTGTTGACCCAAAGCACTGTGATATATTCGAAGAGCAGGAGATAACTGGCGATGTCTTGTTGGAGATGGACCAGTCCTTTATTCATATGAAGGAATTCGACTTTGGCCTGATGGGCCGGCGTTTGAAGACCTGGCACAAGATCAGAGACTTTCAGAATCAGGTCCGCAATGGCACAGCGTCGCGAAAAAGCAGCCTAAAGCCGAATGGGTCCAACGAGGATGTCACACGAATTCAAGCACGAGGCACCACCATATTGCCACGAATACCAAGTCTGCTGGAAGAACCGGGACTATCTATCCGCCAGTCACAGCACACTCACTCGTATGGCATACCTAACTCACCGCCGTCTTCCGAACAACCCATGTCTCCGTCTTCTTTTACCCGGTCCCAGCTTGGACGGAGCACACCCCCGTCTCCTTGGAGAGCTTCGATGGCTACTGACTCTCCATCACGGCGGTCGGCCTCTTCAATACGAGAACTGAATCAGTCTCGTCGCCATTCCTCGATAGATTTCGCCAAAGCAGGAGTTCCGGAGACTGCCACGCCAGCTGCCGCCAGTCTATCCCCTCCACATAAGAAGAATGCATCTTTCGATAAAGATTGGTCCATGAGCAACGCAACCACTGCCAACACCGACGGTAGTACTCCTTCGCTCAGGCTTCATATCGGCAATCCACCGATAAGCGTGGATTTGGACGCAGATGTTGGGTTCAGCAGCGAGCTCTCTACCATCGATCTCGACCGGGGCTACTTCAGTGGGAATGAGGTCGATAACAGGAAAGCGAAGAACCTCCTCAAGAAGCGAGGAGGTATTGAAAGCGTGGGCCATTCCCGCCAATCGAGCGTACTTGATGACTCGTCCAAGGATGCTCTCGGCGTAAAACGACATTCGCGACTCAGCAGCCTTGATTCCTTCAGGGCCACCTCCTCGCTCTCCTCGGCCGCAAAAGCATATCACAGCAGATCATATAAAGGTCGGTTCCGTTCTGCGAGTGCGAGGAATCCGTCCACGCAGCGCTCTCCAATCGCACAGTCACCCACGGTGACAAATTTGGAGGATGGTGGTCTCTCGGCTCTATCGTCCCCCAAGCCTGTTAGTGGGACGGCGTCTCCTGCTACTGGAACAGCGGCAGCTCCCTGGGCATCATCAACAAAGGCGCGAAGACTGTTGGGTATCCGAGCAGCATCCGAGGCTGTTACTGGAAATGAAAAGGAAGCCGCCAGTTCTTCAAACATTACGTCCGAGGCATTGAGAGAGAGTCCTACCGCGTCACCTTCTGGCTCACAAACTCCATCCGCGACATCACGTAGCTTCGAAATGGACAACACAGACACTTCTTCAAAAGGAACAGCTGAACAACTGGGCCCCTTATTGCATACGAAGACCCCCCTGCGTACCAATCCAAAGACCAAGCGACAAACGAGCGCCTACACGAGAGGTCTGCTACAAATATCCCCTGCGGAAGCACGGAAGCATTGTGATCATTACGGTTGGATGAAGAAAAGATCCAGCGGCATTGTATCCCAGTGGAAACCCAGACTGTTCATCCTACGAGGCCGGCGGCTGTCGTATTACTACTCAGAGAATGATACAGAGGAAAAAGGGATCATCGATATTTCGGGACACAAGGTCCTTGTGACTACTGCTGATCCCATTACCTCACTTCAAGCTACCATAACGGGAACGAAGCCCACACCTTCCATCAGTGCCCCCGGGTCATCGACAGAGACCTCGCCGAATGTGACGGGAAACTCGAGCGGAAGCTCCCCCTTCTATTTCAAGCTTGTCCCTCCCAAGGCGGGAGCTTCAAGAGCGGTACAATTCACAAAGCCTACTATTCATGTTTTCCAGGTTGATAACATTACTGCGGGACGGAAATGGATGGCTGAAATTCTGAAGGCCACCATCGAACATGACTTAGCAAACTTTGAGACTACAAATCGGCAAAAGACCATAAGCTTGGCCAAAGCCCGGGCAAGAAAGGAACGGCCCCCAGCGCTGAAAGGCACAGAAGACATAGTCGAGTTGGCAGAGAGACCGACCCCGCAGGAAGAGAAGGGTGAGCAAGAAAGTGGCCTGAATATCCAAGGACTGGATTTCAACGCGTCGGACATGAATCTCCAGATAGGCACAGGCCTCACGAGTGGAACAACAGCACGTCCCGAGGATGATGCAGAACGGGAAATAAAGACATGATGACACACGAGAAGGATTTATTTATCTTACCCTGCATATAATATATTTCTCCTGGAATACGGAATGTCTGTTTGTCTGCACTCTAGGCTGTGAATGAAGCAATCGCACTACCTTGGTAGCTCTTATGCAAAATAAAGAGCAGTCAGTGGTCAGCCTGATATGTGCAAGGCTGACCAACCAGGTGTCGTACATTGCGGGTGGGTGGCGGGAGCCGCGTTGCGTTGCGAGCTGCGCTTTACAACCGCGTTTCCAACTCCTCAAGTCGCGCTTGAGGGTAGAGAGACTCTCTCTTTCTCTCTTTCTTTCACGCGCGACAACAAAGTCAAGCTTCTTGGGATTTCTCTGTTCTGTATTTGTGTTTTGGTTCTGCTCTTCAGGTCTTGTTTCCATTTGGCTTCGATGTACATATATGGACTTGCAGACAAGTTGCTGCGCCTTCTGACCCCAATTGCCATCTGCTTGACCACCTATCTCTACCTCTATCCGATTTTCCACGGTTGTGCTTTTCCGTCGAGAGATCTCTCCTCTGTCACCGCGCTCACTGAGACCCTCAACCAACATTGGTCACCTTGGCCCGACCTCGACGCGCACTCCGACCATCCACATATCCCTTTCCGACTGCTGGCTCTCGCTGATCCGCAGCTTGAAGGGGACAGCTCCCTTCCCAGGCCCGAGGATGGGTTGTTGCCTAGGCTAAGGCAGCATTGGGCGCAACTATCAACTGAAGAACCACAATATTGGCTGTCCTCTGCGTATGAGATTGTGCAGGAAGTCGTTTTCAAGAACCTGCCTGAAGCACTGCAAACCCTCCGAAAACGACTTGATCTATTTGGAAACGACTACTATTTGGGGCACATATATAGAACACTTCATTGGTGGACAAAGCCTACCCACGTTGCCGTGCTTGGAGACCTCATCGGTAGCCAATGGGTCACGGATGAAGAATTCGCGTGGAGAGGGTGGAGGTTTTGGAATAGAGTCTTTGCTGGTGCTCGTAAGGTGGAAGAAGACGTCACGAGCCTGTACAATCAAGAGCAAGGAGCCATTTTCGAGATGGATGATGCCGATTGGAAGCACCGAATCATCAATATCGCTGGCAATCACGACATTGGATATGCCGGGGATGTTTCTCGACAGAGGATGGATCGGTTTGAAAAGGTCTTTGGGAGGGCCAATTGGGACGTCAGGTTCCGATATCCCCATCGAAGCAGCCCGAATACTTCGATCGAGACCGAAACCCAGCCATCGTTGCACCTGATTGTCTTGAACAGCCTCGTGCTAGACTCCCCTGCGCTATCAGAGGAAGTTCAGGCCGAAACTTTTGGGTATCTGAACGATCTGATCTCTCATCGTCTGCGCCCTGTTGAAGATAGCTCGTCTTTCACACTTCTGCTCACACACCTACCACTTCACAAGAAAGAAGGAGTCTGCGTCGATCCCCCCTTTTTTGACTATTGGGGTGATGACGATGGCGGCGGAGTCTATAAACCCCATGGAGTGAGAGAACAGAATCACTTGAGCGAACAGACGAGTCACAGGGGTACTTTGCAGGCGTTGTTCGGCATGAGCGGCGATATCGGAGTGCCAGCTCAAGGCAAAGGTCGCAAGGGTCTCATTCTGACTGGCCACGACCACGAGGGCTGTGATGTCTGGCATTTCATCCCCTCTGGATCGACCATGGCCACATCAGCAGATGGCACTGGAGAAAATCAGCAAACCTCGTGGGACAGCTGCAAATGGCGGGACGCAAATCACCGCAATGCACATACAGGAATTCGAGAAATCACACTCCGCAGCATGATGGGGGATTACGGGGGCAATGCAGGACTTCTCAGTGCTTGGTTCGAAGACGATGTTGGTGAATGGAGGTACCGCATTCAAACGTGCGGTCTGAACATCAAGCTCTGGTGGGCCGTCCATGTTGTTGACTTGGTGGTTTTGTGCCTTTTTGGTGTTGGCCTTTGCCATCGTTTACAACGTATTGTCAGGACACCTTCAGCAGAAAGACCAGTTGTCTCGGAATCAAAGTCCGAAAATCCATTCCGATGAACTGACATTGCGCTGCTTTGTACTCGGCAACCTCTCTGTTCCCGGAGTCACAGAGAACGAGTGATCTCTTTGGCAAATCTGTATGCTTCAACCACAAGAGCTAGTGCCATATCGCAGGATCGCTGGCCGAAGAGAACCAAAGCTTTCTCATCAAATTGGAAGAGGCATATCGAATATAACCTCCTCTTCCCGGTTCTACAGGACTTGGTCGTCCACAATGACAAGTCGTCGAGGAATATTCAAGTGGACAATCCCCTACTATGGATGGAGAGGTAGATGGCGTGGACGTGAATACCTCCCGGCATCGTCAATCCTGGTATTCGGCGGAGATTCTCATGCACAGACAGACTAGTCTCAACCAGCGCACGAACTCATCTGAACTTCCCGAGGCACGTGTATATACATCACGTCGGAATATATTCGCTGTCAACAGAGCTGACTGTTTTCATGTCTGAAGCCTGGTGGAATTCGATTTCCTGCAATGGCTATCAATAAGGCGATCACTTCCAATTTTCCTAAGGAGGCCAAATCGGCCACAGTCCCTCGGTGGTGTGGGAAACAATATGAATAGGATCATTTGAGCTGGAAGTGCCATATCACCAAGAGCCACAGATGGACAGGACGATTGGGGGAGCACGAATTGAGTTCGGGACAACAAGAGTTTTACAAGAATGAACGAAGCATTTGGTCTCGTCCACACTTTGTCAACACTCTCAAGGTCGTCAACGGGCTCAATGGTCGTGTCCAGCAACCTATCGAACAGCAAGCGCAGTGATACAGAGATACTTGAGTGAGAAATGTTTGAGGTATAAATTCACACCACTTGTCAGCATGGTGACACCCTGTTGAATCTACACTGATGGTCTGTGAATAGACCTGATCGAATTATCTCCTTATAGATACCTCGTCCACACACACTTCTTCCCTTCCCTTCGTTATCTATCCTTCACCACTGAAATTGAGCTGAGACTGAGCAAGATGGTGTTCTTGATTGTTTTCGAAACTGCACTTCCTCGCCCACTCTCCTTCCAATGGGGTCATGATATCTATGAGGCCTGTCCAGTTTGTGTCCGTGCTCACGAGCTCAGAACCTGCGATGGCGAGACCAAAGTCACCTTTGAGATTTGTCAGAAGCACAAAGACATGTAAGTTCAAAGTGTCTTTGGAGTGGAGGTGCATGATGGCTGAGATTCCCCCTCGTCCATGCGCTTATCATTCTGTCTTTGTGCTTGTTTCCTCGGCAATGTTTGAGTTGGTCACTTATGACGGTGAGACTGACACCAGGATCGTCTTGACGGGACTCAGAGCATGGCATTTACCTACTCAGTCCTGCTACTGATGAGCCTGTGGCCGTCATCCCATGGTGAACGTGGATTATGGTTAAGATCGGCATGCATCTCTGTGAAGCCCATTGAGACGCCTTACAAGATCGACTGTTCAATCCCTTGGCTTTGAAGCCATAGACACAACTTCTAGCTGTCTCGCGCTCTTGTGAAGCTCGATACCCATGATCTGTCCCTCCCTTTCCTTGCAATGCATACAAGAGTCAATTAAGAGAGAGAGAGTGTGTGTGTGTGAGAGAGAGAGAGGAGCTAATCTTTGTGGTTGCGAGTCCAGAACCGAATCCACCGCATTAGATGAAGCCGTTCTGAAAGAGCTCCGTACATTGGTCCACCCGTTGTACTCGCCTGTGCCGACGTTCCCCACAGTCACGAGCACAATTACATTCAAGTCAAGAGAAGACCTGCGCAAGGAGGTCAAGGTAACCACGGTGACCGAGAACACTACAGTTACCCAGCGAACTCCCACAAAGAAAGGGCATACCACAGAGGCTGGCAGGATGCATCACATTCCGGGCGAAAGTGCTTCGGGCAGGGTACGTGAGTTGGGTCTGCCGCAGCCCAAAATCACATATGCCCACGGCGGCGGGTGTATCTACTCGGACGAACCGGACCTGGTGTTCAAGCCGAGGACGGCGGTGGTCGAGACGGACCAGCACGCGCGAGAGAGGCTGAGGAACATCGCCGCTCTGCTGGACAGCGGCATCAGTTGCAACCTAGGGCCCGAGCTCGACATCGACCCGGACGCGGACATGCATGCTCTGTTGGGCGAGGATACTGTTCTAGATCTGGGCAGGTACCAATCTACTTCCACTTTGCCGCCCAGCGACTTCACCGACAGCCAGCCTACTACTCCGGCGGCTCTTGTGCGACGCATGATCAATGTCGCTGCCCACGATGAGGCCCGCGCCATCCTCTCCGCCGAGAAGGAGCGCTTGGAGGAATATCTCGCCACCAGCTCCTTAGCCAAGGCGCTGTACTTCAAGCGATGCAATGGGCAGTGGGTCAATGCCGTGGGCGATGTGCTTGTGGTCGATGGTAGTGACAAGGGCAACGGTCACAACCACAGCTCAGGAGGTGAGGAGCCTGGAAACAGCAGAGGACAAGACCTCGCGGGCGACGAGGCAAGGGGTTGTGGCCAGGTGAAGGGGAAGAAAGAAAAGGAGAAAGAGGGCGCAGTAGTGTCCAAGGATGGCCAGCTCCGAGGTACTCATGATACTGACCCTGTCTTGCCTGTCCTGCCCCAAGGTCCCCTCGCCGTGGAAGTCCTCGAGACAACCTCATCGCCGCTAGCCATGACTTTTACGCCGAGCATGACACCCGGCAGCAGCACAGCAACCGCAAGCGTTTCCTCCCGATCCCACGGGAGTCCTGGTTCATCCTCACGCAGCAGCGGTGGCAGCGACAGCGACACCGGTGACGACGGCGACATCGGTCCGTTGAAAGCTACAGCCTGTGCCACGACCACGACCGAAAGGGACGAAGAACCCGGGACTACCGACCCAGCCACGTCGTCTGGATATGGCTATGGCTATGGCGTCCCCTTCGGCCGCCAGCGCGATGATACCACCACGCCGAATCCCATTCTCCCAAGCGCCCGCGCCTTGCTTTCGTCTTGTTCGTCGCCTCGTATACACTCATCCTCATCCTCCGCTTTCGCTGGGATTCAGACCGATTTGCCCCATCCTCACGACACCCCGTCCACCCCATCGTTCGGATACGACATGCTCCAGAGTCGCGAACAGCTCGTCCGCGCCGGCCAATGCACCGACGAGGACCTCTGCATGACCTGCTGGGGGTATAACCGCTTATTCAAGGGCGGGCACACAGCCTGAGGCGGGAATACATAAGGAAGTAGCTCGCATAGCTTGCATAGCTTGCATAGCTTGCTGGGCTCAAACACAAAGTCGCCGAAAAGGCGATGTACGGCGCGGGACAGAGTGCAGCTGAGGGAGGAAGACCTTGGGGGTTGAGTGATGATGGTGGTGGTGGTGGTGATGGTGATGCTTCCGAGACGAAGACGGAGTGGACGCGTGGAAGAGTAAAAAGAAAGGGGGAAAACAGTACGAGTCACAAGTCACAGACACCGTGAACCATCGATCCAATGGAAGTTGCTGCAGAGAGCGTATTTCTCAGTTGGGGGCTTCTGGATTTCCATAGTTTTTTTGGGGCTGCATTCACTTTCGAAGGCTCTGGCTCGACACTTTGTCACTATCTATATCAGCCAATCTAATATCATCGATCGCACAGAATTTTGCTCAGCTACGGATTCTTTTACAGTTAATCGGCGTGAACCGCGACAATGCCAGTGACGATCTTGCCCAAGACCATCACCTCGTACCAAAATCAGATACTGCAGCTAGACAACTAGAACAAGCAGACAATATCGAACCAGTGAGAACGAAACCCACAATGTTACGCATATGGAGAAACAATGATCCGATCACATATTGTTATTCTTCTCCTGTGTCCTTGGGTCTAAAAAAAGTACCTAAAGCACCTACTCTTCCATCGCAGGATTGTTGGTAGTCGCACAGCCGCCGCAGATTCTCTTGTCTGCCATATTCCATCTGCAAAAAGGCCGTCGGTGATAAAGGGATGGTGATATCAGTGGGAGGATGATAAGTGGGAAAGATTGTAGCAAGTGATGCTGCCGCCCAGCCTTTCCTTGTTGTCTGCTCGCGGGATATCTTTGCCAACGGACATCATGGCCAGGTAATGCCATGTTCCCTCTATTCAGCCTTCTCTGCACTTGCCTCCGCTGCAGGTGCCGCCTCGGACTCCTTGGGGGCTTCGCTTGACTGAGCAGCTGGTGCCTCCTGAGGCTCGGCCTCGGAAGAGGTCCAGAGAGTCTAAACCCGTGTTAGTGGGGAAAAGGTACGGTTTCGGGTGTACTAATGACTCACCAAGTTGTCTCTCAACAGTTGCATGATCAACGTGGAGTCCTTGTAGCTCTCTTCGCTCAGGGTGTCGAGTTCAGCGATAGCATCGTCGAATGCCTGCTTGGCGAGGTGGCAGGCTTGGTCGGGGGAGTTCAAGATCTCGTAGTAGAAGACAGAGAAGTTCAGGGCAAGACCCAGTCGGATGGGGTGAGTGGGCGCAAGGTCAGTCTGGGCGACTTCGGTAGCAGCCTTGTAGGCCTCGAGAGACTTGTCCGCAGATTCCTTTCGCTTTTCGGCAGTAGCGAATTCAGCAAGGTAACGGTGGTAGTCGCCCTTCCTATTCAACAGGTCAGACTTGCTACAGCCAATAGGGAAACGTCGGCTTACATCTTGTGATAGAATACCTTGGATTCACCGGTTTGAGCAGATGGAATCAGGTGCTTGTCGAGGACATCAAGGATATCTTCACAGATCTTGGAGAGTTCCTTCTCGATGTTTTGGCGGTATTCCTTGATCAGTTTGACCTGGGCTTCGTTGCCTTTCGATTCCTCCTTTTGTTCAATGGAGGTCACGATTCTCCAAGAAGCACGCCGAGCACCAATGACGTTCTTGTAGGCAACGGATAGGAGATTTCGCTCCTCGACGGAGAGCTCTTGGTCTGCAGAGGCAACGACCTTCATGTTCTCAACCATCTCTGCTCCAGGCATTAGCTGAGGACAGACTAGAGTGGGGAAGGATAACATTACCCTCATATCGCTCCGCTTGCTCCGCAAGCTTTGCTAAGTAGACTGACTCCTCTACACCCATTTTTGATGTTCGACACAACGAAGTGATTCAAAAAGGAAAGGAGACCTGCGGATGGTGGTTGATTAGCGAAGTCATCCAACGCAAACAAATGCGTAAACATTAATCAATAGGCCCGGACGGTAGTAAGGAGAGGAACAAGGAGTGATTTTTGATGTTGCGATTAGAGATAATGGACAAAAGACAAATTCCTTCTGTTTCCGCCGCCATCGAAGCTGTGCAAAACAGAGATGGTGGATGGACAGTTCAGGAGCGGAAATTGACGTCAATGAGGCCATTCTGTTGGGATCGCATGCGGACAACGCGGTCAAAGGGTGAGTGACACGCATCAAGACACTCGCGCGAAGCCAGGGCACGCCCCTACATCCAGCTGAAGCTCGAGCGACCAGAGGCGCAGTTGAAGGTAGTCCCGTGCAAGTGCTAGAAGACGTGGGGTACGTGTGTAGACCGCTGGAGAAGGAGGTGACGATGCTGGGGGTGGCAGCTTACCCTTGGTAGAAAATAGTGAGGTCGATGGAATTCGCACAGGTCACGATTTGAGAGATCGAGCAAGATTGCAGGTGATCCGAGAGGCAGAGAGAGAGGGTGGTGGTGATTGCAAAAAGGTGTTGTTGGTATGGAAGAAAGAAAGAGACGAAGGGAAGTGTGCGCAAGCCTGCAGGTGTCGCCTACAGTTAGTGAAAAAGGTAGCCGCAGGGAGTGGGAGGAACAGGGTGGGAGGCACTACTTGGTGGGAACTGGGCTGGCGACTGGAGAATGTGCAGGCCCCAAACGGGGCGTCAGGAGCGAAGGGGGAGGGAACCCAGGAGAGAATCACAAGCCAGAGAGGCTTGGCCCCGATTAAGGTGCAGGGGCGACACCAAGGCCCATCAGTCATCTGGGCCACTGTCTGGTGCTGCTGCCACTGACATAACATGCCGCTGCTTGATTCTCCTGCATTCAAATTTCCTTCCCAGCCTCACTTGTTTCATCGACACGCATTGACAGTTCGGATGGAGATTTGATTGCCTGACACAAATCCGCGCATCAAAGTCCTTGAACTTTGTCTCTCGAGGTGGCTTCCCCCTGTCGCATGCCCTTGAACTGCTAATAAGCCCCCTTTGCCGCTTTTACGGTATTCTTCGGACACTGATGAAAAATACATCACGTGCCTATTGCTGCCATCAGCTGGAAACTTCGCTCCTCCGTAGGGTTCAGTGCTCGACCATACGGTGAGGTACTACTCTGGTCGGCTTCTCCGTGCTATCGTCGTCATTTTGTCATTTTGCTCCACAGCTGCTAGCCCGTCATCTACCAAGCAGAGTCAAGCTCCTCAAATCAAGCCCGCTCGGCTTCAACATCAACTGCTACTTCCTACATCTAGCAACCGTACTCCCTCAATCAATCTGATCCTCAATCCACCCTTGCCATCCGTGAAAATGCTACGAACACAAGCCGTAAAGCTCGCAAGAGCTTCTGCGGCTCCCTCAATCCGTCGGTCGTTCTCCATCACTGCCATGCGAGCTTCCGAAGGAGATACTGGAGGACTCAGATCTGGTGGATCTGCTGCTGGGTAAGTTATTGTTATTGTTTTTCTGCTTGATCTCTGAGCTCTGAGTTCCTCGGTCCCTTTGGGGGGGCAGACGTGCAAACACGAAACCATCGACACCTCTGCTAACACCTTGTTTAATGTAAAACAGTGATGCCTTCACCAGACGCGAGCAAGCCAGCGAAACCAAGTTCATCAGAGAAAAAGAGATGGAGAGGTACGTGCTGACATTCAACATCAATACCAATGAGGGGAAGAGATATAGTGACTAACCTATGGCTACATTTGAAATAACAGCTTGAGAAAATTGAAGGAGAAACTCGCTCAACAACGGAAGCATCTCGATGAACTGGATGAGCATATTCAAGAGCTGGAGCGGGACGCTGGTGGTGAAGATCCTCAACATACGAAGGGCAACTAAATGTATTCGGCATCTTTGTCCTCTAAATTGACACTGGGCGCTCAGCACCCATGAACAGAGGGCGACGACGATGCTGGGAAGAAAGTCTGGAGGATGGCGCCAAAACACAGGGCAATGGAATTACTATTCGGTAGCTCAAAGGACAATCATGAATCTACGGCTGTACAGAAGTTCGGCTGCCGGTCTGGCAATATCATATGTCTTCACTCCCACATTGAACGAGAGTCCGATTTCCCCAGTTCGAACTCGTGAATATCTGATCGGTGTAGTCTTACAAAACTTCCCAGTTTTTTGGCCGAGGTGTCCGTCACCCCATTCCCTTGTATCTCAAAAGTACCAAAAGCACCCTTCATTGGAGAATGCCACCTGATTTGCTGGCAGAGACACTGATTAAATCCATTTCCATCTCATGATCTCCTCCCCATATAACTCCGATAGAAATCCTGGACGGCTGCACCAGTGTTGCTTCCATCGGTTGTCGAAGATGACTTGTAGCCACTCAGATAACCTAGTTGGCCTGCCGCCTTTTGTGCCCCTGCAATTTTCTCTTGTAAAACCTGAGTTCCTTGATCGATAGCTTGGAGCTGTATCAGGTGCGAATTGAGGATCTTGACGATCTGTGTGATCTGCCACAGGCTTGTTAGCTCCAACACTCCACAAAATCGATATTGGAGGTCAGTTCTGCTTACTGGTTCATCCCCCTTTCCGCTCCTGCTCAGGGTCGCATTTGCCGCATTGACTTCATCGACCATACTTTCCAGATCTCTCTCCATCTCCTCTAGTCTCTCGCCCAACTTCTCCGCAAGTTTGTACGTCCTCTCCCTCTCTTGGTCCGGTCCGCCCATCTCACTAGGAGTAGAAGAATCTTTGGCAAGCATCTCATCCACATCGCTCTCGTATTTGCTTAACCAAGACTCTAACTCCACTTGTGAGTTCTCAACAGCGGCAAGTTGCATGTCCACACTCATGGTCTGCCGTTCGCATGTTCGAGCGCGCACGTACAGTTTATCGATCTTGGATGAGTTGTCAACGATCAGTTGATCCCACCGCGCAATGGTCTCTGCGTTGTCCTTGAATTCTTTTGAATAACGGGACATGTCAGTTGCCCAGCGGGTAAGGATCTCGTCCATGGTTTTATTACGAAGACGGGACTGAGCCGGCGGGATTGGACCCGTTGTTGATGTCTGGCCGCCAATAGTGCCTTGAAATGGGTTCGGCGCAGTGGCGGTCCCAGCTGTCGGAGCAGACGTCGTTATAGCGGCAGCAGGTTGTGAAGTTGATGGTGCTGCCGGTTTGGGAAACGAGAAAGCGCTAGGTGCAGGGGCCGATGTAGTAGCAGGCTGTGTTGTCGCCGTCGCTGTCGCCGGCTTGCCAAAGAAAGGGCTTGCCGCAGGGGCAGAAGTGCTGGCAGGCTGAGATGTCGTCGCGGTGGCTGGAGCCCCAAAAGAAAACAGGTTTGCGGTAGTTGCGGGTGCAGTCGTGGTGGCTGAAGTGGTTACTGGAGCCGAGCTGGAAGTTCCACCAAGGTTGAACCCTGGGAAGAGAGGCTTTGAGGCAGGAGCAGGCGTGGCTGCGCCTGAAGTCTGTGTTGCAGAAGGCTGCCCGAATGATGGAAAACTCGGCTTTGCGGCTGGCCCAGAAGCGTCCGTAGCTGCTGGTTTCCCGAAAAGACTTTGTGTGGTGCCTGAAATGGGAGCAGCAGATAGTTGCGAGGTTGCCGGTGCTGAAGTATTCGTTGCGTTGGAGGTAGGCTGGCCAAGCGAAAAGGCCTTCTGTTCGGGAGCAGAAGCAGCAGTCAATGACGGGGTTACGGTGGACGTGGACGCAGCTGGTTTTGGGAAAGAAAACCCGCCAGATAGACCACCAAAGAGGTTTGTGGAAGTCGACGAGGCTGCCGTGGTAGGGTTACCAAGCGAAAATGTAGGCTTGGACGCATCTTCAGTTGGCTTTGTGCCAAAAATGCCCGGGCCTGCACCAGCACCGCCTGTACTTGCGCCAAAGGCTGAGCTGGCCGGAGGAGGTCCAGCTGGAGTGGTCGAAGTCGTACCGAGACCGAATGGCTTGTTGGTAGCAGGGGTTGTAGAGCCAAACAAAGATGGGCCGGATGTTGCTGGCGTAGATGACTTGTCTGGCGTGCCAAACCCTCCAAATCCTCCAAAGGCTGGCTTGGTAGTATCACTGCTGTCCGTCTTCGACCCGAAGAGGTTCTTGGGCGCAGAATTGAGCAAACCGCCACTCTGCTGTCCGAAGGGGTTGAAGGCAGCAGGCTTGTTATCTTTTGCACCACCAGTAGCCAAAAACCCTTGCTGCTGAGTAGATGTTGTAGGCGCGGTAGTTGGTGAGTTGAACCCGCCAAAACTGAAAGACCCCGTGTTTGCTGTCGATGTTGGTGCACTTCCAAAGAGACCTCCTCCCGATGATGCTGGTGTATTGGAAGTTGCAAATGGCGACTGCCCACTTCCACCGCTTGTAGAAGGCGGGTTAAAATTGAAAGCCATCTTCGCGAAACGAGGAAAGGGATTTCCAAAGTATGAGCTCTGAGGAATCTAGGGAGAGGGCATCGCAGGAGATCAAGCGTGGAACGGTGGAGGAGGCACTGGACGTAGATAAGAGCAGATGAATTGTTTTGTTAATGCTCAAAGATTGGTGTTGGCAGAAGGGTGCAGTTGGCGAGGTATGAACAGGACGCGCCTAGGCGCGGAGCAAAAAGTTGGTGTAGACGCAGTGGTTCGCGGAGTTGGTGCCCAAAATGGAAACCGACGCCAATGCTGGCCTGCGCCTTGAACCAACTGCATGCCTCTTCACTCTGACCATTCCACCCTTTCCACCTCTACCTTCTTCTCACCCAGCCTTCTGTTCCGTGGAATTTGACTTTGAAATCGAGAATAGGCAGATCCTTTGTCCAAACACAAGGATGTCCAGACCATCATCGTCGAGAGACAGTCTGCACCTTGAGCCTCCTAGGAAGAGTGTCGAGTTAGAGGATCCCGGCGCTCATGAGTGTATGACAACCTCTGGATCCTTGATTAACGCCATTCCGGGCACTAATATCGACCACAGTATCGTCAGAAGGCGAAGATGAACACTTCTCGGATGCCTCAGAAGGCCAGAAAAGACCCTCTCGGCCAGTAACTCCTGCATCCCCGATTCCGAAGACACGCATTGAAAAGGTCGACGATGAGCCACGATATGGAGAAGTCCCCGGCACGCCTGCATACGAGAAACGGGTCCTTGATGCTGTACCTGACGAGGTCGAGATTGTCCAAGAAGGTCGCCTCAGTAAACGCTCTTCTCAACTGCTGGAACCACCCACCACTCCTGGTGGTACTCTCATACCTCGGACTGTGGTTGAGCTTCTAGACCCAGAGTCTCCCAGTTACGGCGAAGTTCCAAAGACTTCGGCCTACATTCAGAGGCAGATGGATGCAGTTCCCGACGTCATTTTGAAGAATCCCGAGCCTGGGAGGCTACACCATTACACCGATGAGGAGGGAGGAGGAGGAGAAGGATCTTCCTCTTCTCCCAATGTTCCGGTGCCGGCAACTATCGTTACCCGAGTTGATAGTTTTCCTGCCCATGGCGAAGTTCCAGGCACAGAAGCCCATAAAAAAAGAACGCTTGATGCTTCTCCAGATATCACCGAGAAGAAGGGCAACGGAGCAGGTAAATCCAGTGAATGAACCAGCCTTTTAGGAGGACCATTGACCTGATTCAGGGTCACCCATCCTCAACAGATCTTTGAACGCCACAAGACGGAGGTCCACTTTACACGACGACGACGACGATGACGACAATGATGGCAACGACCGTAATGACAACGACTTCGGAGACGATTTCGATGATTTTGAAGAAGGCGCACAAGCTGGGGCAGAGGATGACTTTGGGGACTTTGACGATGGCTTTGAAGAACCTGAAACTATCGAGTCGCCACCTCTTGTATCTACTTCACAATCAAGTTCTATACCAGCCACTGCATTCGTGAGTTTCCCATATTCGTTCCTGCCGTCTAATGTGCTGATAGACCTTTCAACTACAGCCCCTGGTTGAGTCTGTTGCGCTTTCATCAATACCAGATTTCCTCGCTGCGGCACAAATGCACTTAGATGCCATGTTCCCTGCCACTACGACTGACTACTCCTCTCGAATTCCACCACAACAACCGATCTCGGATTCCTCACCTATCTTCCCCTCGGAGCGCTCACGTTCACTCTGGAAGCAACTGATCACACCACCCCCTCTCCAACCACCCAATTGGACGCAATCACGAATCCGGCGACTGTTCCTGGTCAGTCTTGGGGTACCAGTTGACCTGGATGAAATTCTACCGCCAAGCAAGCAGAAGAAGCTTGTTTTACCAGACATCAATTTAGAACCCTCGTCACGCAGATCGGAAGGGGATAAGACAACAGGATCTCTAGCACGTCTCAAGGCGCAAGCTGGGGCAAATGACTCTTCTGCCTCGATCGACAGCTCACAATCAGGTGCCGCCAAAGAAGGCCAAAGAGTACCTCGCTCAAGGAAACCAAAAGGACCTCCTCCGCCGCCTGAGCTAGACCTAGCAGCTGTTCGACGCCTCTGCGCCACCACCGAAGAAAAGCTTGAAGGCTTAACTGACGAAGAGTTACAGAGCCACGTGGAGGAATTAAACGAGCTGACAGCAAGGACAAGTGAAGTCTTGGAGTACTGGTTAAAACGAAGGGATGGTTTGGTAAAGGAAAAGGAAGCATTTGAAGGTGTCATCGAGAATCTGGTCAGGCATGCCAGGAGGGTGAGGAAATAACCCTTCTTCTACACAGTACAAAGGTGTATAATATGTCCAATAAAATATACTATGTTCGAGTGGAGAGCTCTTGTCTAGGAAAAGCGAAGTATCGAAGAGATCCTGTGCTAGCAGCTTGAGAACGCACTCACATTCTCGAATCAAGGTCGGAAAAGAGGCTGTCCCAGCTTGGCATCCCCATCTTGGGACCCAACTCGACGTACTCCTTCCAGATCTCGTCGAAGTCGGACAGGTAGTGCTGACTGATGTCTTCAGAGCCCCAGGTACTATCATAGGGTGGGGGGGCTTGTTGTCCACCAGGATCCAGAGGTATAGGAGGTTGAACAAGCTGCTGGGCCGACGGCTCACTGGCAGCACGAGGCGCAGGGAGGTCAGACGCCTGCAAGTGAACCTTGTGCTTTCTGAGCACGTCCAGGAGGGATTCGAGAAACTCGTGCGCCATCCCCGACTGAGATTTGGCCTCTTCCAGCATCCGGCATGCTTCCGCGACCTCGGCCTTGCGGGCGGCGTCGTCTTCCCCTTCGGCAGCCTCGTTGAAACACAGGTCCATTACCAGAACAATGGTTGCCATGAAGATGTGGTAGACGACACCAGTATTCTTCGCGACTGCGGCCATAAAACTGCCCGGTTCATCCAGACGAATGAGTGTCTTCATCCGAATGACTGCACGGGCCGACTTCAGCGATATGTGCCGAGAGTAGTCATAATGGCGCTGCACGGCGCGGCGGATGAGAAAGGGCTGGTGAAGTTTACACCGTCTGGTATGTCCGATCATGCCCAATGTGAGACGCTGTACTTGCATCCGTGGGTATCGACGCATGACCGGTTCACTTTCTCGAATATGGTGTTCGTCGATTTTGAAGAATGAGGGTAACTCCTGAAGGAACGACTCGAATTTACTGTCAAGTCTGATGACATCTTGATAGTCGACTGTCCCCAGTTCTAGGCTGGACAGCGGCATCAAGTCGACGACGCTGCGGCAGATGTCGGCGAGTTTGATCCTCTGGATATAGTATGACATGATGGTCGGCTCCGACAAGGGTTTGTCTATGGGAACAGTGCCCTCTCGCAGATCCTCGTCGTTGACGTTCATCGGCTTATTCACGCGAATATGTCGCGGCTGAACGAAGTATGTCCCCTCTTGAGGACCTCCACTGAGACCGAGAAACCTTCGAGACACGTGTGAGCAGTTTGAGGGAGGGACCGCGCTCGAGAAGCAGGTACATACCAATCGGTTGCCACAACATGCCACCAGACCCTTCGTTTTATTTCGGTCTCCAATACGGCCCGCTGGCTCCCAGCACTGCCCGGTGCATCGGTCTTGTGCAACGAGAGATCGCGTGCCATTATGACGGCACCGGCGAACAAATGACGGGCTCTGGTTGAAAATCCTTCGCTATGGAACAGAAGGAAGCCGAGGATGATGGCAGCCTGGACATCCTCCAACTGGCTTGGGGTCGTGCGACGAGAAGACTCTATTACTTCCAGCGTGGTGTTGATCCAGAGGGAGGACGCTTGGGCCACGTCAGAGGCCGAAAACGACGGCTCGATGTCTCCCAAGAAGTACATGGCAAGGTTGGAAGAACTTGCCAAGATGCTCAGCAAGAGTGCAAGTTCAGAGGGAAGGATAGGGAGACCTTGCTCTAGGTTGGCATAGAGATTTTGCATCATGTTGCGGACAGTCGGCACGTGGACGACATGTTGGAGATCGTCGATATGTTGGAAATAGTGGTCCAGCAAAAGCGATGCTTCAGCCCTCGGGGGAAGACAAAGACAGTTCGAGGTTGACTGGGAATGGAACGTTTTAGCGGCTTCGAGGGATATTTGGCGTATGGACACCATGCGGATGTCATGGCCTCGTGGTAATACCCATGGTACGGGCCCAACACCAGTCCCTTCTAAGTTTTGAACTGCTTGTTCGTATTCCGAGGCCGGTGAAAGGCAGGCAACGCTCGGAGAGGGAATCGTTCTCGAAAGAGCCACAGACGATGATATTTCAGGGCCGGTGCCTGTCGTCTCCTTGATGGGTGTTCTTCCAATGACAATGTCCTCGAGTCGTTTCAACCGCGCAAGAACAGACTGGTCATCCGGATCGTCCACCAGCGCGGGTGGTCGGCGGCCAGGTGACACGAATTTACCATCGCAGGCAAGCCCTCTTGATGCACAGTTCGAACATGGGTGCTGCCTGTTGCATTTCAGCTTTTTCGATCTGCAGAACTGGCAAGATATGGGTTCTTGCCGAGGCCTCTTCGAGGGATTTGAAGGCACAGGTGCACCCGAAGAGAACATTCTTCCTGTCTGCGTCTGCGAGGCTTGACAGGACGGTCAACAGACAGGATGACCTTATACCGCGGACATTCCAGGGGCCATCTATGGAATACCTGGCTAAATGCGGGATGAATATTGCGTTATTGATGAAGTCTCAGGACAATCTAGTTGCAAATTTCTGCCCACTGCATCATGAAGAAGGTGAGGGAGGTTCGAATTTGGCCATGCCGAAAGGGAACGTCTGTGCTAGCTGCACTCCTTGCTTCTATTGGTCAAAACGTGAGAGTCATGTGCCACTTTCAGGGTATCAGCCAATAGAAATCGACGTGGAAGCTGATAGCGCTGCACTAGGAAACTCCGTGGAAGGTCCGGATCCACTACGGCCACTCTAGATACATCAAATTCTCGTGCGTTGTGTCCATCCCTTCAGCCACAGGTTGCAACAAATTGTCTTGTACTCGACAATTTAGCACTATGCTACGTCCCACTGTTCCAACCGAGAGACACAATGTATTGGATACCCAGATCCATGGACTCTCCATCTTGCTCAAGATTGAAGACCCTGATAAAAGGCCGTGTTCTCTTTCAAGTCGCCGACGGGGATTTTCGATCCTGCGAACCGCCTCTTTGACTCTTCCAACATGGCACAAGACTTGAAACTAAGTATGGCTTCAGACTCCGAGAAGCTTGAGCCTCGTCAGCCTCAAAATGAGACCCGCGAATTCAAGTTAGTACTCTTCACCGTTCAAATAACGCTCGTTAACATTCCTCGCACAGTACCAGGTCGGTTCTCACTATCGTTGGCGCGGCCTTGTCAGCCTTCTGCACGGTCGGCTTCCTCAATGCGTTCGGCCTCTTTATAGACTACTACCGGAATCATCAATTGGCCGACAAGTCCGAGTTTGACATATCCTGGATTGGATCCTTCTCCACATTTGTGTTCTTCCTCGCCGCAGCTCCAGCAGGCCTTTTGGTCGATCGCATGGGTCCCACGGTACGTACCATCCAGACAGGTTCGTACACCATCAGATCTGCTCAGCTAATTTGGTATAGATTCTCCTTATCATTGGAAGCACAGCGACCCTCCTTGCCATGTTCATGATCTCCCTGTGTCATGAGTATTACCAATTCTTCCTCGCACAAGGACTTCTCCTGGGCATAGGACAGGCCTTTCTCGTCTGTCCTGTCTTTGCCATGGTTAGCCGTCACTTTAACAAGAACCGCGGACTGGCGACCGGCTTCACGATCGCAGGCTCCTCCTTGGGTGGGGTTATCTGGCCCATAATGGTGGATCAACTTCTATACAAACACGACATCAGTTTCGGTTGGACCATCCGCATCATTGCTTTCACGATGCTTCCGCTCGTGGCAGTTACCTGCATCACTGTCCGGTCACCAGCATCGGAAAAGACCTCGAGCGAAGAGAATGTCCCAGCCGCGCAGGAAAAGCAATCAAAGAAAACAGACTTGTCGATTCTCAAGAGTCGCGTGTTTCTCACATTTTGTCTTGGGATTGGGATATACTACCTGGGAATGTTCTCCCCTTTCTTCTTCGTGACAACCTACGCCGTCAGCCTCGGTCTATCCACCAGTTTCGCCTTCTACCTGGTTTCCATCCTCAATGCTGCCTCATTTTTCGGGAGAATTTCGGCTGGTTGGGCCGCTGACAAGTATGGACATTTCAACATGTGCTCACTAGCGGCGATGACATCTGCAGTGGTTGCATATTGCTGGACGGCTACCCAGTCGTCGGCAGGTCTTGTGGTGTGGAGCTTGGCTTATGGGTTCTGTTCTGGTGTAAGTTGGTCTTGCCTGAATGAGACGTCAAGTGTTACTAACAACTATGCTACCCCAGTCCATCCTGAGTCTCCAGGTGTCGTGTGGAACGAAGCTGGCCGCGCCCGAGGCCTATGGTACTGCTGTTGGGATGATTATGGGAATTGTCTCCTTGACGTAAGTTTGGTGTCTTTATGCGTTCCCTCCAGGATTCGACAGCTGACGTTCCCTATCACCAGCGGACTCTTCGGCTCCCCCATCAGTGGCCAATTGATCAAGTCCGGTTACCTTTCCCTTTCAATGTATGCTGGAAGTGCACTAGTGGTTGGGGGCATATTTATTTGTCTTGCACGACTTCAGATCTCGCGGAAGCTGTTGGCTATTGTCTGAGTGTTGTAAACCGTGCTAATCCGGGTTGAGTGTTCAAAGATTTCTCGGTGGTATAGAAATGAACGGTGTGGTGGAGTGTACGAGAGATATTAGAAATGTATTATAGCTTAGATGAGTATACTTCTCGCCTCAGAGATAGAAATACGCCCACAATTGATCGCCTTGGAATCCGACCAGGGACAAGGGATGAAAGTGAAGGCAAGGCTGTGCTTGACCAATTTAGGTTAGTAGATTCTCCAATAAAACCAGCAGGACCTAGACAGCAGGCTGGATGCGACTCGCAAGCCTCACTTGTCTTCAACCATCTTGACCATGCACACCGCGCAGTAGGCGTTCAAAATACAAGAGTCGGACTACACGCCCTTATTGCATTAGACGCATCCTTCTTGAACCTCATTCTGCTTTGACACTCAACATTATACCAAACCTGCTCTCGTCACCAAAGGTATTCCTGGAGCGTTTGGAAGTCTCCAAATACTCGCCATTGCCCTTCGCGCCTCTAGAGGCAGAGCAAAGATGCCCGCAGCCATGTCCTCACAATCGCCCTCCCTCGACTCGATCCTGCACACTCTCCAACAATCTCTGAGCCACAACGACCCGTCTCAAGCGCAGTCACAGTTACAAAAGGCAAAACTTGCCCTCCTCCAACAGAATGCCTTGATTCCCTCTCCTCAAACCCCCTCACAGACACTAGCAACTGCTCGTTCGATATTGGAGGCCGGCGCCCTTCTCTCCATTCGATCAAGAGACCCCGAGTCGTTCGTGAGGTATTACTCACAGCTACAGCCCTTCTACGATTTCCCGGGCCTGCAACAGACGCCTTCCAGGGATCGATCGAAACTCACGGGACTGTACCTGCTTCTGTTACTCAGCCAAGGTGATTATGCGGGATTCCACACCCTCCTGGAGTCCCTGATTGTCGCGGAAGGGGCAAATGGGTCTTCCAGCGTCGAGGCCGACCCATACATCAAATACCCTATGGAGGTGGAGAGGAGTCTTATGGAAGGTAGCTACGACCAGGTCTGGCGAAAGACAAATGGGCGAGACGTGCCAGGTGAAGAGTTTGGCTTGTTCTCCGACGTATGGACAACCACCTTCCTGCGCTGTTTTTAGAAAAGTTTGCTGACGTGAACACTAGATCCTCATCAACACCATCCGCGTCGAAATCGCTTCCTGCGCCGCGCGCTCCTATCCGTCCCTTCCCATTGCCTCGGCGAAAAACCTCCTCTTCTTAGAGTCCGAAGGCGCTGTCATGGAATTTGCCCGGGAGCAGGGTTGGAGTTTGGAAGAAGGGAGGATATATTTCCCAGGACTGGAGGCGGCGAAGAAGCTGGAGGACGGAGACGAGAAGGAGGTGATCAGCCACATGGTCGAGTATGCCAGAGAACTGGAGAGCATTGTTTGAGATGTGTCTGAGCATGGAGAATTTACAGTTCAAGAGGGATGGTCATTGTACTCATACTCAACAGCGCAGCTTTGCACAGGACCGCAGTATTGGGGGTCCATGGACAAAAAGCGCATAGACACGCCCGGCAGGAACATCAGGTCTCTGGCGCATGAGGCTCTGACCTCGCTTTATGCAACTTGTTCCCATTTCTGAGCTCTTTAACCTTTTTCCAAGCTGTCCCCAGTGTGAGCTTCGCCTAGAGCATTTGGCTCAAGAACATGACAATTATTATTTTTTTGGATTGCTCGGGGGCATCCTCGACAGAACCCGCCTCCCTGATTCACTGGTTCTGGACCTTGAAATCATCCACAAACTTCCACGTGCATATCTTCATGTCGTAGAAGCTAGTACTGACGATCGTGTACGCCGGCGCTTCTTCTTTTGCTGGACTGACACCTTCTCGCACGGGTTCTTTGCCCTCGTGGAGTTGAGCACGTGGGTTGTCCCTTTCGGTGCTTCCGTTGTCGAGCCGCGCGTCGCAGCAGTAGACCATGCTTTCGTGGCCGGCCCGGCAGACCGTCACTGGGGTGATTGTCCATGTGCCGTCGGGGGGGGATGAGCCGGATGAGCCCGCTGTGTGCGTGACGCGGAGGATGGCGGCGCCGGCGTGCATCAAGGATGCGAGGATGAGCGTGTGGTGCTGCGGGGCGGTGTCCTGGCCTCGGTCCCTCGGCGTGGTCGAGTACTCGTCGAGGACCTTGAGTCGCCACACGCCGCCGTCGAGCCTCAGGTCCGTCTTGAAGCTGGCGCGGTGGGTCTTGATGTCGAGTTCGAAGACGCGGACGAACTCGTCGTAGCTGCCGGTGAGGAGCGGGACGATGTCTTTTCTGTCACCGCCGTCGCCGTTCTTGCCGTTGTAGACGGTGGTGGGCGAGAGGGGGAGTATTGCCACCACTCCTGCGGTATGGGTGCGGCGGTCTTTCCAGAGGGGCGTGGCGTCAGGGCACAGAGTGTCGCAGGAGGATAGGGATGGTGAGTCCGATGTCGAAGGATAGACGGAGGTGGCGTTGGCTGGCAGGGAGACTGAAGAGGCGATCAGAGCACTGTCGTCACCGCCACTGAGGATCACTCGAGAAGGTTTACTTCTGCTGTCATGTCCTGCTGTCCCACCCAAATCGACGGCTGCGACGGTCCAAGCTTCCAGCTCGTGAGTGTGGACGACCTCGTTCGAGCGGGGCGTCAGCAGTTGAAGGGGTCGATCCAATCTCTCGTCGAAGAGGTCTTTGACCGCCGGGAGGGAGAGCGTCACGACTCTCGTCTGACCAAAACTCGTCGTCGCCACGAAGCCCACGTCAATCACGTCGCTGATCCCGACCACCCCGTGCGTGCGCGTCTCTGGGAACCAAGTAAATTGCGTGACCAGCGGTACTAGGCCGTGTTCATCGTTTTCCGCCACCCGGACAGATCCCAGGGAGAGTAGCTTGCCAACGATGCGCCGTCCGAGCACGTCGCCGTAGACGACGAATCGGAAGAAATGGACCGCAGCATTGCTCGTGGCGACTCCCAGGAGCGTGTCGTCGTTGGGGTGGAAATGGATATCCAACACGGCGCAGGGGAAATCCACCCTGTCCAACAAGGGTCGCCGCATGCCCGCGTATTTGGGCTTGAATGTCGACATGACGGTCATGACCTGGAGAGACCCGCGTCGTGTCTGCCCCGTGTAGTCGCATGGTTCGTCCTTCTTGAGCAGCGAGTACGTCCCGATGATCATATATTCCGGGTGGGACGGGCATATGGCGACAGTGTCGACTTCTTGGTCCGCCGTGCGTGAGGTGTATTCCATCCCTTCAGAGACGCCGGCCATCTTGACGAGGGATAGTGGGGATGTTCTAGGAGGGACGATGCCGCCAGCGGCCGCGACCTGGGCGGCTTGTTCTGCGCGGTAGCTTCTGATGTTGGCTTTCACCATGTTCATGAGTTCGCTGAGGGAGGGTTTGGGGAGATTCATTGCAGCACAACCATATGGAGGAAGACTTGTTTATTTTCTTTCCCACACATCCAACAGAGGCCAAACCGGAAAAAGGGAAGAAAAGCACTTGAACGCACTTACTTGCTAAATTGATTTCAATCAATGCTCTTCACGGCTAGATATGGGTGAGGTATGTAACGACCCGGTCGCGGATTTAGGGGTGTGAATTAATGTCTGCTGATGGTGTGGCAGACAGTGAATCTACCACTTGCTTCACGAGGTTGATGTGCTTTGTCGTTCTGCTCTCGCTAGCCTCTTAACACGAAGTCAGTACCTGTCTAACACGACAAATGGCATTACACTGAGATATAGAACACAGGCAATCTTCCATGCTCAGAATCGTGCTCGTTTCCAAGAATGTGAGGTGGCAGGTGGGGATGGTCGCCAGCTGGAAATGTTCAGCCTCGTCACATGTCAGGGATCCTGCGCCTTGCACTACCTGATGCTGTGTGGGAGATCAGGGATATCATTGTGAGATAAGAGGTGGTTGACCATTAAGAAAGAAGAGTGTACACAACATGGAGAAACTGGTGCTCACTACAAATGACTGACAATGAAGGAGAAGTGGTTGTACAACACGAAACAAAATAGCTCTATTACTGACTGTGACCTCCCTCGTAATGCTTCGGAGATGGCCTGTTTTAGTAATTGGACCAGTGTATAGAGAACAAATAGGTATTCGGTAAAGTAAGTGACGTTCATGGCCTCTATCACGCTGTCTCATATACCGCGTTGGAAATATAAAGGTCTACCAAATAGAACAGAAATCATGTTGTGGAACATAGCGTCCCATGCCCATTTACGAGAATCGCCAACAGCTCGTGCATCTTGCTCCATTTCCATGCCCCTTTCCCATACTCCTTGAGCACTTCCAGGCGCAGAGCGGGACACGACAACGACGTGGCAGCTTGACAGTAAGGCCATCATGGCGCCGCGACCTAGCTGCGAAGGCAGGCATCGCGCTGGGCGCCAGAGGCCGCTTCCACATAATATGTATCCGTCATGAAAGTTGTGTCGGGCTCTGCTGGGAGGACAGCGAACCTGGCGCAATACTCATTTGCACTTAGCTGAGGCGGCACGAGACTGGGTTGCGGTAGCGAGCTCCTCTCTCCTTCGGAGTGAATACTTTTGTTTTGGCCACCATTCTGATCGCAAACTTTTGGAAATCTGTGCTTTACCGTAGGAATCTCGGCGCCTGCCTACCTCCCGCGCCACGTGACCTGGCGCCGCTTTCGCTCAGGCTGGCTCCGGCCACCAGCGGGTGCTAGTTTGGAAACCCCGTAGGTCGGGATCACGTGATTGGCGAGGCGCGTAATCAGACACGGTGCCAAAGGCGCACAGTTTGACGTCGTGGATCGACAAACTTGTCAATCATGAATAGGTGTGGGTTCAACAATTATGGAACGCAACCGGCATGAACTTCAGGATCTTGTTGCTCGCTACTCCTATCAGCCAGATGACCTACTGAAAGGCATGATCATACTCCATGAGCCAGCGGGGCAAACGACTGTTCGACGCGACTCCAGTTCCTCAACCTTTGGCCTCCTTGATCAATTACCCGTCGAGCTCTTGTACTTTCTCCTGGGCTTTCTGGACCTTCGTTCCATATCACATCTGTCGCAAGTCTCCTTACGGGGCCACGTTGTCGTTCGATCATTTCATATATACCGAGACCTGCTGAAATACGCATCTCGTGCCTTGACGGTATTGGGCCGGACCAGATCCATACGCTATCACAGCGCAACAACACTTCACACGGCGCTCTTCTCGCATGATTGCGTCTCTTGCAGACACTTCGGCACCTTCCTCTTCCTGCCAACCTTCGAGAGTTGTTGCTACGAATGCCTGAGCAAAAATCAGAGTCTTTGGGTGGCTTCTCGAGCCTTGGTCAAGAAGTGCTTCGACCTTGATGACCATCAAATCAAGAAACTACCTGTACTGCGCAGTCTCCCTGACTTGTACCAGATAGGTACTCAACCAGAGATCTCTCGCACTCGGCGACTTAACCTCGTCAGCGTCAAGTCCGCCAAAGCGCTTGGACTCAAGGTTCACGGATCAACGGCGAACATGCCGGATTGGGATTCTTTGTGTCGTCCTTGGGCGCCTTCGACAAAGCATTTGAAGGAATACAATTATCTTCGGTGGCTTCAGGCTGCACCAATGCAACCACTGGACGGTGATCCAGTTATACTACCGAGACAGCCACACACACCAAATGATAACTATTGCGGTATGGCCTCCATCCCGTTTCCGTCAATAGGTCGCGATGGCCAGCATGATAGCGGTTTGTGGTGTCGTGGCTGCGAATGGGCTTGCGAAAATTTGCTCCACGAGGATGAGCAAGAAATTGAAGCCCCTTTAAGCTACAGCATTCCCCCAGACTGTGACGTGGAAGACGTTCTACTTGCCCTGGCGCACCGTGCGAGGCCAAAGATAGAGTTTGCCAGCCATATTCAGAACTGCTACGGCGTGAAGAAGCTGGCTGATGATGTGTAAGAAGTCGCACGTTTGTGAGTTCAAATCAATGCAAGCCACAAAGTGGCTGCAGTGGCATGTGCTCAAAAAGGCTACGGCACGCCCTGAAGCCAGACCGGCGGGTAAGTCAGTTGAAACTGGGGCCGTGCGGAATTCCCATAACCAGGCATTTCGACGCCGTTACAGGTCGCACCCAAGACAGGATACGTCGCATTCAAAATGAGACTTGAGGATTCGCACCCGTCTTGAGCCAGATATGGACCGATGACCAGGTCAACAATAAAGAAACTCATCGCCGGTCCATCGATCACGATCGCCTGCCAAACTCCGCTCACCCCTGATATTCATCCTTTCGAGTCTGTGGCTCCGTCTTGATTCGCAACAATCATGACGGAAATGAAATTCAATCAACCCGAAATCGTTCCGAAGTAAAACTCGAGGTCTTGGACCAGGAAATTAGCGATAGAAGGGGGGGGGCTATACCGCGTACAAGCCGGCAACAGAGTCCACTACCTGACAATTCCTACAACTGTTTTTGATGTTGACACAATGGGCAAGCCATTCCTTCTAATACCTCGGCTTCCCGACTTCCCTGACACAAATTGGACCAGAATGACAATTTCCCGGAAAGAAAATGGGACGTTGGCGCATACCATCTCCTTTGAACCTCTTCCAGAGCTCAAATTTACCTTTCACGAAAATCTAGTTGACTGCCTCTCATATCGAAAGATAAGGCGGCTTCGTCCCGGCGTCGTCGAGGTTCTCTATCGCGGCCGGCCCGCTATGGCGAAGTACTCCTGCTTTGATTGGGACTTCCACCGAATACAACGCGAGAACTGGGCCCACGATATTCTTCACAATGACCATGACTAGGGCCAAGTATACGTGGCTCCAGGAGTCTTAGGTCGACAGAAAACGGACGTCCGATCGGACTGTTACTAGAAAAATTTGAAGGAACTTTCGCGTCAATTAAGGACAAGGAAACCTGCGAGAAATCTCTTCGCATCTTACACTTGGTCCACGGCGATGTCAACAGGTATAATTTCATTGTGGATGCCAAAGACGGTATCGCTCATTTTCCACTGTCGTTCGGACAACAATTCCGCTCACCGGAGGTAGCAATTACCCAACAGGCACCCATAGTGGTTCCAGGCTTGGCCAAAAGGTTGGGGTGCCCGTGATAGGACCCATGGCCCTAGATGTGGGCACTATTTATTACTCGTCACTCAGGTCGAATGACACCATGTCCAGTCACGTGCAGGGCTTGCTCAGGACATCTCAGGTCAAAGCGGCGAGGCTCAGGATATGCTCAGGTCCAAAGATGGAAATGGAAAGTACTCACGTCGAGATTCCGACGTCGAATTCCCTGGTTCACGGCTGGAAACATGGCCCCAATTGGGTGCCTCGGAAGACGAAGTCGATCGCGCAGCGTCTTGTAATGCCCGCATCCCCAAGTCGTCCACGCAAGCGATAGCACTGCTGCTTCTGCTTCATAGACGCAATTCCAATAGTTTCAGATATGGCTTGACGCCTTGACACAGAAGCACGTGTAGGAGCGAGAAGCCGCCACTTTAGGTTCGCCGTTGCTCACGAAGGCTTCTCTCCCATTCAAGACATCATAGTTCATACATTGCATTAGTGATGGGTATCATGTCGAAAGACAACGTGTTTCTTCTCATTTCCGAGCTTGCTCTCTTTCCACCTCGTACATGAAATCGAAGTAAGGCTTGTCGAAAGCATGCATTCTGACGTAACCATCCTCACCACCACTTGCGTATGCAATGCCTTGCGGGTGGACGGCGATAGTGTTGAGAGGCCCGAAATGACCGCGGACACGCCCGATTTCATCCTCGAAGATTTTGTGGTAGAAGCGAGCTTCAAACTTGCCCTGACGAGCAGACGTTGTGGTGACTTCCATAGCCGCTTGGCCGCCTCCCAAGATGACAAAATCCTTCTTTGGGGTAATGGCTGCCGTGTTCAAGGGCGTGTCGGCAGTATACGACTTGAGAATGCTCAGGTCCCGCGTAGAGAGGATCTTGGCCGTCTTATCTTTTCCAGCTGTGATGAAATAGGTTCGGTCGGGAGAAAACTGCAAGTCGTTGATGGTGGTGTCATACTCGTGGGCTTCTTGGGACATCAATAGTTCCCCAGTCTTTGCATCCCATTGACTAACAGATCCATCCTCATGGCCGGAGATGATGTACTTGTCCAGGTAGCCCCACCCTGCAACTGTGGCCTTGCTTTCCTCACACGTAATCCTCAGGCTGTATTCGTCCGTCTGATCTGTCAGGTCATCGCCATATCGGATGTCGTAGACCACTATCGTTCCCAGGTATCCCATTCGCTTTTCCGTGACTGCTAGCAATTGCTTCCCGTCTTCACTGAATGCAACCCGTTTGACGGCGGTAGGAAATTCCCACGTCTTGACGTTCTCACCAGTTCGGATGTTCCACAACTTTATCGTGTTGTCTGCGGCTCCGGAGGCAAGGAGGTCGGTATTCGGGGATATATCGATGGTCCAAATCGCACCCTGATGGCCGTTGTATGTCCCTAATCTTTCTCCATTGCTGGTGAACCACGCGCAGATGACTTTGTCTTTCGCAACCGAGAAAAGGAGATCGCCTTCTCTGTTGTATTTGATTTGGTTGAGCGACCGCTCCTGAAATATCCGTCAGTTGGCCATCAGTCAATTTTTTTCCTTAGGGGCTACCCACATGGCCTTGCAAGAGAATAGGCCTCATTTTCCGATGAATTGCTCGTCTCAGGAATTAGTTTAAGTGCTGTGAGAAGTTCTAAATTCAGAACGTAGCAGAAGAAGAAGAAGACCTTTTGTAGAGTCTTTCCCGTGGAAGTCGATGGACACCACCAGGCGACTGGACGGCTGTGGGAATTATCGATGCCAAGCAAGAAATTACACGAGTCATGCCGTCGCTCATCCATGAGTCATTGTGACTCAAAAAAAATTCCATGTGCCTGGAGGATCAGCTTGAAAACATCGTCTCAACCTTTAGCCGGCTCTCTCAGTGATGAGTATACTCGAAGACCAGGGATAGCACTTTCCTTGGTCACCCGAGACGAGTTTTCTACGGAGCTTTGGGCTCTGATATGGCCAGCAGATTATCTAGTGCGACGCGTCCAAATCATATATTGGCAGGTCGTGCCATTCTCCGTCAATCAATTTTCTCCAATAGTTCTTCTCTCCGCCTTCCGACTTTACCCTCTCAACCTTTGTCTCTCAAGAGTCTGACTACGATCAGAGCTGCCTCTGAAGTCACCCTGATCAGTAGAGGTGCTCGGCGCCCCAAAGGACCGGTTGCCTCCCCCAGAATAGTTTCCGCAACGGTCGGCCGATTCCAGCTACCCATCCCACATACCGAAGAAGTCACACGAGTCGGACCTTTCCAGTGCTCACCGCCCCTGCACTCTCGCTTCTTCTCACATACGACACCGAACAAGATGGGCGCTACAAAGATTGATGGGAAGGCTATTGCCCAGAAGATCAGGGAACGGCTGGCAGCCGAGATTCGCGAGAAACAGAGCATCAACCCACGGTACAAACCATGTCTGAAGATCATTCAAGTCGGTGATCGACCTGACTCGACCACCTACGTCCGGATGAAGTTGAAGGCAGCCGAGGAAGCAGGCATTGATTGTGCACTGGTTCATCTACCAGAGTCGATTTCAGAGCCGGAACTATTGCAGCAGATTATTGACTTCAACAATGATCCCGCTGTCCATGGTATCCTCGTCCAATTGCCTATCCCTAAACACCTTTCCGAACACACAATTACCTCTGCAGTCGCAGACGAGAAGGATGTGGACGGGTTTGGAGCTACAAATATTGGAGAGCTTGCTAAAAGAGGTGGCAAACCTTTCTTCGTTCCCTGCACCCCGAAAGGAGTTATGGTGCTGTTGCAGGAGAGTGGTGTTGATCCCCGAGGCAAGACGGCTGTAGTCCTCGGCCGCAGCGACATTGTTGGTAGTCCGGTCAGCTATCTTTTGAAGAATGCCGATGCCACAGTTATTGTGTGCCATTCTAAAACTCAACACATCGAAGAGGTTGTCAAGCAAGCCGATATCTTGGTTGCGGCTATCGGTCAGCCAGCTTTTGTCAAGGGTGACTGGCTGAAACCAGGAGCTGTGGTTATTGACGTGGGCACAAATTATATTCCTGACCCTTCCAAGAGCTCGGGGCAGCGCCTCGTTGGAGACGTCGAATTTGAGTCAGCTGTTCAGGTTGCTTCTCAAATCACGCCTGTTCCCGGCGGGGTGGGCCCCATGACAGTTGCGATGCTTATGCAGAACGTTGTCGATGCCGCCTCCTCCTACTTTGAGAGACTCAAGGCAAGACACGTTACTCCGCTGCCGATCAAGCTTGAGAAGCCCGTCCCGTCCGATATCGAAATCTCGAGATCACAGCATCCCCGTCACATCACCCAAATTGCCGTTGACGTCGGCATTGCTCCTCACGAATTGGAACCATATGGTGCCCACAAAGCCAAAGTTGACCTTTCAATCCTTTCAAGGCTGGCGCATCGCAGGGATGGAAAGTATATTCTGGTTAGTGGTATTACCCCGACTCCTCTAGGAGAGGGTAAGTCCACTACGACAATGGGCCTTACCCAGGCTCTTGGGGCTCACTTGGGAAAAGTGGCATTTGCCAATGTTCGACAACCAAGTATGGGACCAACCTTCGGCATCAAAGGTGGTGCAGCGGGCGGCGGCTACAGTCAAGTCATTCCCATGGATGAATTCAACCTTCATCTGACAGGCGATATCCACGCAATTACAGCTGCGAATAACCTTTTGGCTGCTGCCATTGATACACGTATGTTTCATGAGTCAACTCAAAAGGATGGTGCATTGTATAAAAGACTGGTGCCCAGCAAGAAGGGCAAGCGAGAATTTGCCCCGGTCATGCTTCGAAGGCTTAAGAAGCTGGGTATCAGTAAGACAAACCCCGATGAGCTAACTGAGGATGAAATCAGGCGGTTTGCACGCTTAGACATTGATCCGGAGAC